TTTTTTTTTTTTTTTTTTTTTTTTTTTTTTGGGAGCTTGATCTGTTATTCTAACCTAACAGATACATCATACATGTGTGTAACATTCAACCCAAACTTTATCCCTAAAACAGATCTGAAATTAGGTTTAGCAATGCCGCCTCCAGCATCAGGTTAGTGCCAGGAACTTGGCAGGAAGCCTTTTTTTTTTTTTTTTTTTTTTCCCGGACGGCGCGAGGGGTTGAAGGTTGTTTGAAATGACCCAGTGTCAGAGTTGAGGGAATTGAACAAGGTTAGTTTTTAACTTTATGAAGTTTACAGTTAAATACTGTGGCAATCTTACCGTTTCCTAAGTTTCCTTTCTTGATCACGGGAACAGAGGGGCACTGGGGGTTGGAAGGAGGGTCTGGGCGGAGGGCGGAGGGTGTAGGGGGTGTGCAATTGCTGCCATTCTTTGTGTGTGGAGCCCTGGCAGAAAAAAATTGTATTGCTCGTTATTTCCCCCCCTAATCTTTGTCTTCTGCTTCAGCATAAGGTACATTGTTTTCCCAAGCCCGGTAGAGGGATCTTGTACTGCTTGGCCTGCTGCTCATTTTCATCTCACCCTGTCTTGCACTTCACCCTAAGGTGGATGTTGGGACAGCTCCCAACTCTATCTGGAACAGGGATGCCATGCTGCTGATGGACACTTAATACCAGGCTTATCCAGCCATTGTGGCGGAGTGGTACACACATGTGGCAGTTGATTAGCAGATCATGAGTTCAAATCCTGATGGATACTAAGTACAAGGCTTACCCAACCGTTGTGGGTGACTGCTACGCACATGTAGCTGTTGATCAACAGATGACGAGTCCAAATCCTGATGGACACCAAGTACAAGGCTTACACAAGCGTTGTGGGTGACCTTGTCAAAAAATCCCAACGACAGCAAATTTGGACTCGTACTCCAGAGGGATGGTGACTACCTAGCCAGATGCCCTCTTTCACTGCATGTGTTGAAGCCCTGTGTCACTCAGACGATCTCTGTAATAGTGTCTTGTACTCTACAGTATCTACATATGATTCTCTGCGACTGCCCAAGCACACTGCCTAACTGGTAGCTCCCAGTCAGACTGGGGCTGGCTAACTAGACCCCACCATTTGCTGGCACGCTTGGTCGACTGCTGGCCTCATGCTCAACTCTCGGGCATCTACTGTTCGGGGAACGAGGGTCGACTGTGAGAAGGAGATCATGACATTGATGATGCACATGGCACTGGAAATACCCACAGACGGATGCATGCAACAGCGCAAGGGATGGGCAGATGGAATACTAAAGAGTGAGGGAGGGAAATGACCAGCAAAGTTGAGCAAACTAAGAAAAGTGACGCTAAACGCTGCTCTGAGCCTAGGCATGCAAGAGAGAGAGAGAGAGAGAGAGAGAGAGAGAGAGAGAGAGAGAGAGAGAGAGAGAGAGAGAGAGAGAGAGAGAGAGAGAGAGAGAGAG